TCTCACGTGCACGCTCCCGCTCTCACACATAGCCACATCCCTCCTGCAGCCGTTCACTCATTCGGCCACCCTCGCCAGGTTGGAAGGCCTTCAGCTAGCGTCTTTGTGCATTTCTAGCCCCATCCCAGATCTGGCTGTCCAAGGACAGGCCTTACCTCCCGACTCCAGCTGCTTAAAACCAGTAGCCCGACTCACCCCTACACAAAAGCACACATTGCACCCGGACGCGTAAGTGTCCTCCGAGGACAATCGAGCGCTATCTGGCCAGGTACTCATTACGTCCGGTCCGGGGGTTACAAAATCCCGAACAGCATCCTTCCAGTCAGTTAAGCCATTTCTCTGTTCTCGTAGGACACTACGTTTCCCAGAACGTCCTGCAATGTTCCCGCGAGATTCTCACTTGTTCAAGAGTGCTTTTCTGAGCGGAAGTAGGTATCATGGAAGAAAGTTTTCCTTGGTATGATTAACAGTTTGAAAGGAAACTTCTTTCAGAACCTGTTTGGTGTACCCTGAAACTTCCCAGTCTTTCCCCCCATGGAACATTTTGCTTAACATCAGGCATGTGGCAAAGAGCGAGAGCACTACCCAGAGCCAAGAACAGGTAATCGTCCAACGCTGGACTACATTTCCCGGGGTCCTTTGCAGCCGGAGCGATCCACTGGATCTCAGCCCCCTTCTGCAAATAAGGGATAGGAAAGTTTCCCACAGCTTCCAGAATGAGGCTTCTAGGAGCACTCCAGGACAAAGAGCTGGACAAAGGGTAACGACCGAGTAGGGTGTGGGAATGTCACCTAAAGATGTCCTAGGACTTGCCCCAAAGAAGAAAGGAACTTCAACTAAGCCTGCCAAGTATCTCCCCCGCCCCCGTCTATGTCTCTCTTTCTCCTCCCTCTCCCCACCTCCCCCTACCAGTGGGTGTGTCTACTGAGCATTGAACCCAGGATTTTTGTACACAGCTACCTTCCGAGCCCTTTCTTACCTCGACAGACTCATAAGTCGCTAGGTTGCTCATGCTGTGCTGGAATTTGCACTTGATTCACTGCCTCCATCTCGAGAGTGCTGGAATTGCAGGTGCTTAACACTACACTAATTAGAAATTAAACTAGTTTAACCAGAAAAGTTACCCCAGGGACTTCGTGCTGTACTAGGCCATATGTTTGTCTGTTCTAAGGAAGTCTTACAATACATTGTGTTTAAGGAAATGAATGAAGAATCTTAGTCTCTGTGGAATGCTGGTGGGACAGTGCAGTTGTGTCCGAAAGAAAAGAAACAGTAAACCTGAAGACCATCTCGTTTTCAGAACTTGTCTCCTCATAAAAATCAGTATCAATCGTATTGGGTTTTATTATGTGTGATAGTATAAACAAATTTTCTATGGAAAATGAGGTAATATAGTAGCCATTGTTCGTCCTTTATTATTTGGTTCTGAATGCCCTGTAATACTTTGATTCTCTTGAATGGTTTTATACTATTTTGTTATGTTTGATACTATTGTATATGAAGTTATGCTCAACTATTTCAAAGAAACAGCCATTATGGTAGTTACTGTTAATTACCGGTTGTGTTGTGTTGTGGTGAAATACTGTGTTGCTTACATTGTTCTGATCTGCTTTGTTATGTCCTCTTTTGTCTTAATCTCTTTAAAATAAAAAAAAATTAAAAAAAAGAAACCAGTATCAATTAACTTCATAGAAGACTTTCAGGATGTCAATGAGAAATATTAAAGGTTTTATTAAGCATAGTTGAAGAGTACACACACAGATGAGGCACTGAAGGGAAAGCGGCATACTAATGATGATCTGTAGTTGGGTTTATATATATGTGGTCTTTGAGGTTTGCCTCAAAATGGGTGATCTAAAATGTTTCACCTAAAAACATTTTTTGAGTGTGTTTTTTCATTTTAAGAACGGGTTGTTGTCCTTTACCTTATCATCAACTAGGTTAATTTATGAATTTAGTATACTGATGGGCTTTGAAGAAAAAAAAAATTTAAAGATAGTGTATACATGTAGGGATAACCTTAGATAAATTCTGTTCTGAAGTTGCAAGCTTCCTTAAAAAATAATTTAGGGGCTGGGGATAAAAATAATTTAGGGGCTCAGTGGCATAAGCGCTTGCCTTGCAAGCAGGCAGTCGTGGGTTCAATCCCCGGTAACGATAAAAAGGAAAAAGACAAAAAAAAAAAAAAAATTTAAAGTTAAGATTTTCCTTGTCTCCTTTTCTACCTATCATTCTATCCTATCTCAGGAAGACTCTTAGATACACTAAGTATTAGTTATATTAGCAGCTCTTAAATACACTCAGTTGTCTCTTGGAGCTGGGAATGTAGCTTAACAGCCCAGTGCAAAGTCCTAAATTCAGTTCCAGGTAGCCAAAAAGAGGTTCTTATTTGAAGGATTTAATCTATCCATGTTTAATGTTGTTACTAATAACGTTATTCTATGTTGTATGTTTCCTTTTTTCTCCTTTCTCTGTATTGGATTGATTTTGTTTTAGAATTTCTATATTTTTCTTTACTAGTTTGTGTCTTCTTTTGTTTTGCTTTTTTTTCTTTTGTCTTTTTTGAGATAGCATTTCACTGTGCGGTTCAAGCTGGCCTTGAACTCACTTTGTATCACTGGCTGACCTCAAACTCACAGCTATCCTCCCACCTCAACTTCCCAAGTGCTGGAATTACAGGCAAGGACCACTGTACCTGGCCATTTCTTTTGTTTGTTTATTTATTTATATTTTGGCAGAACTGGGACTCAAACCTAGGGCACTGTAACACTGAGCTATATTCCCATCTCTTATACAAATGTTGGTGTATTTTGAGACAGGTCTCACTAAGTTGCCCAGGCTGTGATCCCTGTGCTTCAGTCTCCCTAAGTGTTGGCTTTACATGCATGTGGCACTGAACCCTCATGTGGGTTCTTTTACTCATTACTCCAAGACTCTCAATTTTTATGCATATGAGGTTCATATTTCTTCAGTACTCTTACTCTCCTCTCAAAGAATGTATTAAGTTCCATTTACCCTCTTAGACTTTTAATACAAGGTATCATTTACATGTTCATTATATGTTTTATTTTAAAAATCTCTCTGATTTGTATTATGTTGTCAGATATCCAATTCTCAATTTTTACAGTGTCCTGTTCCAGATACTGTGGGTTCTGCCTAAAAGTCTCCAGGCATTGGCCTAACCTCCGCTCCATGAGACCACTCACAACCTACAAGCAAGAACACTCATCTTAGTGAGAATCAGATTGTTCCCTAAGGCCTTAAGGACTTCTCCAAAAACAGTTTACAGAACCAGTCCTGAGATCAGCATTGCTGTAATCCAGCATGACCAGAATTACATACCTTGCAATAATGCAAACCCGTAACTCTTGACTTTGTTTCCCCCACCTTTTTTTTTTGGTAACAGGAATCGAACTCATGACCTCACATTTACCAGACAGGCACTTATGCCACTGAACTGAATCCCCAGCGCCCACCCTTTTATTTTTTTGAGGGTAAGCCTCCTCTGTAACTTGGGCTGACCTGAAACTCACCTTGTAGCTCAGGCTGGCCTTGAACTCATGATGATGTTTTTGTCATGTCTCCCTAGTGCTGGGATTATAGGCATGTACCATCACACCCAGTTTGTTTCCCTTTTCGACACAATGCTAAAGTTCTTGTCCCTGGAAAACAGATTTTTTTGATATAGGATCTCTGTAATTCAAGCTGGATGGAACTAAGTAGCCCAGACTAGCCACAAATTTGCAGCTGTCCTCTTGCCTCAGCCTAGGCTTGTGCCACCATTCCTGGCTGATAAATTTTGAACTCTTACTTATGCTTCCAGCGTGGCCATGCTAATTAAAGCTCCTTTCCTGCCTTTCATCACTATTCATTTTCTTCATTGGTGTTTCGGGACCTTTCTCGGGTTCTTAAAATGCTCCCAGTAGAAATGGTTTCTAGGTTCTGTCGTGATCAAATAATACAGAAGAACCAGGCGTGGTGGCACATGCCTGTAATCCCAGTATTTGGGAGGCTAAGGCAGGAGGATTATTGAGTTTGAGGGCAGCCTGGGCTACACAGTGAGTTCAAGGACAGTCTGAACTACACAGTGAAACCCTGTCTCTAAAAACTAAATAAATAAATAAATAATTCACCATTGAGAATGAGGATTTAACGGGGCAGGATGTAGAGCGCAGCAGCACAAGTGCTTTCCTGGCAAGTGCAAGGTCCTGAGTTCGATCCCCAGTACAAAAAACAAACCCAAGAAACGCAATCCAACCACGCCAAGCTTGATTTTTTTTTTAAAGTTACTTTTTCTATGTTTTATAAGCTGGAGCTACCACAGGGAACAAGGGGAAAGTCTGCCCTCAAAAACTTAACTAGTCTTAGCTTCACTAGCATCTCCTGTTCCACCCAGGACACACTCTTTGTTTTGTTTGTTTGAGATGGGATTCTTGTTTCAGGCTGCTCTCGATCTCAAAACCCATCTGGTTCACCCTCCTGCGTGCTGGGATTATAGGATTGTGGCACCACACCAGGCTTGGGGACACTCTCTTAAAACACTGGTCCCCCAGAACCGCCTAGATCGGAGGCACTTGGCTGTAACCCTCCGCGCTTCCTTGTGCTAGCGCCCTGCTAGTATATTGAGAACTAAAATCCAGCGGAAGGGGTGTGGCCTTGCTTCCGCCGCTTTCCCTGGGGTATGTTGGACCTCAGCCTGTTTTTCCAACAAGCCACCGCGGCCTCGGATATTTGGACTTCTACTACATTTCCCAGAAGGCAATGGGCGCGCTAGTTCTATAGCTTTCCTTCTTTCTTTGCGTGGTTTTTGAGCTTTTCAGGGTGAGTTAAACTTCTTCCAGAATACCATAAACTAAAGGTGCTTGCCGACAGGGCTGTGGGAAACCGGATTAAATTGGAGCCAGACCTGAATCTCCCGGAGCTGGAAAAAGCCCTTCGAAGAACGAAAAGCCGCAGAATGGACGGCTGTTTGTAAACCGAAATTCAAGGCTAGTGCATTCATGAACTGGGGAGCGTAGTTGTGTGCCTGTGTATGTCAGATGGGAAACGAAGGAGACCTTGTAAGAGAGAGTGACAGACAGGCAGACAAGCACAGAGAGAGAAAGTTGCGAGCAGGAGGGCTGGAATATGTCTGTTCGCCTCTGCGCTTTTGCGACTGGCAGGTGAGTGGCTGTGCTCGCGTCACGGGGCGGTGAGGTACGTGTATGTTACGTGTGGGTCGGTTGCCGTGGCACACTGTGTGTCACGGTGATCTGTTACAGGTTCCCTACTGCTTCCTTTTCCCCCTCTCCTAACAGCTACTTGGATCTGACGGGGAGAAATGTCTACAAGAACAAAGTCTGATGCTAAAACCTAGAGTTTTCCAGCAATTAGGCTTTGCCTTGCAGTTGGATTGGGAATGCCTGAGACTTCGTTCTATGTGAGAAACTTGTGGGTCAGCTAGCTACATCTCAGAACTTCAGTTTTCCCAGAGCTCTCATGCCAAGAATCTGCGTGAACCTACAGAGATTCCATCCAGCCTCTCCCCTGCCTCTGTCTGCTTATGAGCAGGGGGCTCGTGGGCATGTGGACCTGCAGGAAGTTGGAACCAAGTCATTCTGTCCCAAACAGCCCATGACTCCTCATGACTTCTTTCTCTCTCTCTCTGGTTCTGCCATTTCTCCAAAGAAGGATCCTGACATACAAAGTTGTTTGACATTTAAAAATCAGTGTGTAGATTAGCTGAGTTTTGTTCTTGGTGATGGTGGTTGCTTGGTTTATTTTTGGTTTGGTTTGGTTGTTTTTTGTGGTACTGGGGATGGAACCCAAGGCCTTTAAACTGAGCTCCATCTCTAGCCTTAAAAATTTTTTTTTTCTTGATCTCAAGACACAGTCTGACTAAGTCGCTAAACCAAATGAGCTGGGCTCGAACTTTCTAAACCTTCTGATTTAGTCTCCTGGAGTGCCGTCATGCCTAACTTCTAGCAGTAAGTAAATATAGAATAGTGACTGAATCTTCTGTATACACTATCTTGGTCTAATCTGCCCTACTTTAATGATATATTTTCCATTATTGAGGTTTGAACTCGGGATCATTGCACACTCTTTTTATTTTATTTTGAGAAAGAGTCTCGCTAAATATCCTCGATGTCCAGGATAGACTCCATCTTTTAGTCCACTTGCCTCAGCCTCCCAGATGTTGAGATTACAGGTGTACACAGCCATGACCAGCTGGCTTTTTTTTAAAAAAGAGATTTACACCTAGGAGTCTAGAATCAAGGGCAACAATTTTTCTGTTTATGATTACTTAAAAAATCTGTGTTTAGCATTATAGAAATTCAGTAAACGATTAATGCATATGGTTAAATATTATGTGGCTGTTATGTTTATACAGTTAGACATTAAGATACGTTGCATATGAAGAAATTTTAATCACTAATAAAAATTTAAATTATATATCAGTTTCAATTAGGTTTTTTGAGAATTTTTGAAGAATTAAATCTAAACATTTTAATTATTTATTGAGGAAAGTAATGTAGCTATATTTATTGCAGTTTATTTTGTTTCACTCTTCCATTTTTCCTGCACTGATTCAATCTTAAAATCAATGGTCTTAAATATTTTTATAGCTTTTAGCTGAAGTCATCACTTTGTGGAACTTTTGGAAATGGACTGTAGTTGGGTATTTGAGCATAGGTGTCTGCATCCAGAAGGGGAGAAACATACTTGAATGATTCCTAAGAAATAATTATTTCTGATCAGGTGTTTTTTGTGGTTTGGCAGTCTGTGTTTTTCAGGAATGCCATCGTATGGTTTGAGAGACAATGTGGTATGGTATTGAAGATAATGGGCCCTGGATGCCTAAATTTGGTTTGTATCTCAGCTCTTTCACTTCTCATATGTATATAAGCCTGAGCATTGTATTCACTCAGATTGTGTCAGACCTCATCTAGAGCAACTCTAGGATCCCAAACTCTATTTGCACAACAGGTTCAAACTGGCTTCGGTTTAAACTGAGAGAACACTTGGTGATGTTGACTTGCTCTAAGATTGTTCTTACAAAATGGCTTCCAGATGTTGTATGGGGGGTGTGTGTTTATGTGCATGGCATTAGGGATTGGCCTCAGGGCCTATATCAGGCTCTATATCAGGGTTTCAGTGCACTATATCATCCCTGGCCCTTCTTATTTTTTTATTTTGACACAGAGTCTTTGTAAGTTGCCTGGGTTAGGCTTGAACTTGAGATCTTCATGCTTCAGCCTCCCAGAGTGCTGGAATTACATCTACTCATTCTTAAGCAGATATATATTTTTATAGTATCTACTTCACAGGAGTGTTATGAGAGTAAAAAGATAAAGCCTGTGACATCAGAGGCTGGAACATGAGTGCTCAACAAGTATTAACTGTTGTGTCATGATTTAGGACCTTCAGGATTTGGTAGTAACATATGTGAAAGCAATTGATGATTATATGAACTTTACCAGGTGGTTCAATGGGTAGAGAACAAGGATTCTGTATCAATCTTTACCCCTTTCATTGGTATCCTGGTTCCAAGGAACTGCAAACAATTTAAAGTTACAAATCATTAAAATTCAGAAGCATGACCAAAAAGATTTAGAGCTATCAGTTTGGAAACAAAACAGTAATGGTAGCAATGATTTTATAAAATAAGAATCATGAGTTTGAGGGCAGCCTGGGCTACAAAGTGAGTTCAAAACTGGGCTGAACTACATAGCAAGACCCTATCTCAAAAAAAAAAACCAAACTCTTTTCTCTTTATTTTTCATGTATTCTTTCACTTTGTTAATTTCACTTAAATGAATTACATGCAGTCACAGAAAGATCTTGCTAGTGAAAAGTTTGAATTATTCTAATAATAATTATTCTAATATATCTAATTATTCTAATAATATCATGTCCACAACATGATAGGTATTATTTCAATCACATTGTTTATCCAATTCATTGCTAGAGTTCACAGTTTTCTTCATGAGTATCCTTCCTCGTATTTTTAGTGTTTATTTTAAGAAATATTTTGGATATGAACTCGCCTATGTATCCCAGGCTAGAGGCTATTATAGCTAAGTTACAAAATAAATCTGCCTAAAACCTGCCCTTTAACACATATTTGTGCATACACATATATGTGTGTGTACATGTACACATGTATATTTTAAAATTAATTTATGATCAGTGTTATAATTATGAAATATATTTAAAATGAAACATCAAGATCACAACTAAAAAATAGTAATGAGAACAGAATTATGTAATATGACAGGCTAAATCACCATACATTTTGAATGTATTAATATTGTGTGAACTTTCTTTGTAAATGTCTTAATCACATTGTATTCTATTTTTTAATCTTAATTTTCTAATCATAGTATATCTGTAATATTTTCCATATCCTTAAGTATGTTTCTTTCTTTGTCTTATACTACTTTATGTTCTGTTACATGTATGTTCCTAACACAGAACAAGGCCTATGTAATCTATGTTGTGTTACTTCACATTTATTGAGCAACTTCAACTGATGTGATGCCCATAAAGAGGCACTAAATTAAATTACAATCCCTCTTTCAGCAGTAGGGCGTGGCAGTGAAGACAGGTGGATCTACTCATGGAGAGACTCCAAGCCCAGTCCCAGGTGTGGATGTGGGTTCACCATAGAAGTCACTGTACTCTGCAATTACCTTAGTGTAACTGAGTTTCTTGGGTTTAGAGGACAGCTCAGATTTATCTTCTGTTTTTCCTGAAATTATATGCACACTGTAGGAGACTAGTATCAGAAGGAGAAATGGAAAAGCAGAAATATTTTATTGTATTAGATCATTCACCATAGAAGTCACTGTACTCTGCAATTACCTTAGTGTAACTGAGTTTCTTGGGTTTAGAGGACAGCTCAGATTTATCTTCTGTTTTTCCTGAAATTATATGCACACTGTAGGAGACTAGTATCAGAAGGAGAAATGGAAAAGCAGAAATATTTTATTGTATTAGATCATATTAGAAACATTAAAAACCTTTTTTCTTCTATCAGCTCTAGATACTCAGCAATTTAAAGTTTTTCCAGTACTGGACCATTGAGGAAGACTTATTAGAGCTTACATTTCTAAAACCATGATCTGTGTAAGTTAATTATTTTTTCTGTTTCCTTGCAATATTAAGATTTTAAGGCTGGAGATTTAGCTCAGCGGCATAAGCGCCTGCCTTGCAAGCAGGCAGCCGTGAGTTCGATCCCCGGTACCGATAAAAAGGAAAAAGACAAAAAAAAAAAAAAAAAAAAAAAAAAAAAAAGATTTTAAGTAAGGTAGATTTTTTAAAAAGTTAACCTAGGACTTCCTACTTAAGAAGCCTCATTCAGTTATCTGCTCTCTAGTTTCTCCTAATGCAGTGAAGAGTGACAGCAAATAACTTGGCTTCCTGAGATGTCCATAATAAAATGAATTGTTACACAGCTGGTACAAAATGTATTTGTATAAGCAAAAGTACTTATGATATGCTCTGAGCGTAAAGCTTGTGGAACTACTGAAATTTAAAAAAAAATTTCCAAAGCTTTTATTTATTTGTTTATTTCAAAGAGAATAAAAGCAAGCAAAATAAAACAATAAAATCAACCAAAACAAAAGAGTGAAAGTGATACAGAGTATGAAAACAAGATATAGGAAATCAACAATGGCTACCATAATGTCTCTTATTATCTTCAAAATAACTGTCCATACTATCAGACATAATAAAATCAAAACAGAACAGAATAAAACCAATCAAAACAAAAACAATGAAAGCTATACAGGACTTCAAAACAAGATAATAGGAAATCAATAATGGCTACCATAATATATCTTGTTATCTTCAAACTAGCTGCCTATGCCATCAGCTATAATAGAATCAAACAAAACAGAATAAAACCAATCAAACAAAACAATGAAAATGATACAGCACTTTAAAACAATATAATAGGGAATTAACAAATGACTACCATTTTCAGAAGGAAATCCTCCATAGTTTCTATATTGTATATTGTTATTCTCTAAATAGATGCTCAGACTACTAGTTTTAGGCCTGCAGAGTCAATCAAACAATACAAGCATTAAGTTGTTTTTTAACTTCAGTAGCTATCATCTCAGTTTGTGTTTCTCCAAATCAGCCAGTTGTTTACAGTGCAGGGCTCTTCTTGTTTCCCTGTCCACATTGCAGCTGGCTCATGGGAAAGGGTTGGCTTCTTGTTTCTTCGAAGCTTTTTTTTTTGGTTGTATCAGAGGTCAAACTCATGACCTCCCACTTGTCAGGCAAGTACTTATGCTGCTAAGCTAAATCCTTGGCTCTCCGAAGCTTTTTTTAATATAGAGATTTTTATATTAAATTTGGGAAGGATCCATATTTTGATTTTAAACTATTAAAAAGAAAACACTGTAGTTCAGAAATTAATAGTTAGTGAAGATTTATGCATTGTATCACTAACAAACTGATTTTTGGGGGCTTGGGATTTAGCTCAGCGGCGTAAGTGCCTGCCTGGCAAACTCAAGTTATGAGTTTGATCCCCAGTACCAAAAAAAAAGAAAGAAAAACAACTAAACTGATTGCTTCTAATACTTTATTGAATACAGAAACTTGAATTTTATTATTTTATTTGATCCATTCCTCAGCAAACCTAAACTTTTTTTTGGAGACAATGTCTGTCTCTCTATTTCAGGCTGGCCTTGGCTGGCCTCAAACTCACAGCAATCTTCTTGCCTCAGCCTTCCAAGTACTGGGATTACAGGTGTGTGCCACCACACCTGGTTAAACCTAAACTATTGTGGCAGTCATTGATATACAGAAAGCTTTGTGTGCAACACCAGTATTCTTCAGGCATAGGTAGACATGCAATTTAGTCTATTACTACTCATTAGCCAATTGTATAATATCATACCTTTCTTTTCATGTATTTGTTTATTGTCTTTCCTTTTTGAAAATGTTTCTTTAAATGTTATAATACATATGTTTGTAGTTTCAGGAATTAGTGACGTTCGGGGATGTGGCCATAGACTTTTCTCAGCAGGAGTGGGAATACCTGGACCCTAGACAGAGGGACTTGTATAGGGATGTGATGCTGGAGAACTATAGGAACCTCGTCTCTCTGGGTAAGTATATTTAGTGTAAGCAATTTAAAATGTGATCCATGATAGGTTACCTTTCAACAGAAGGGATTCCAAGGCAATACTGCAAGATATACTTGGATTTCTGCTGTTCATTGAGGACAGTTTAGGTCTACCAATTTATAGGCTTTGCCTTTAAGCACTATCATCTTCCCTGTAATTTAGTGATATTCAGTTTTCCTTCTGACTCTTATAAGTGCCTCCCTTATTTAATATCCAAGGGGCCAGATTCCAGGTTGTAATTCTATATATTTAATGAATAATCACTGTGCAGGACAGCTGGTTTCCCATTGTGTTATTCTAAAAATTCCTACAGATGTGCTGTGTTGTCCTCTGTTGTACCAGGACAAAGTTAGATGCATATTCCTGATTTGCTCTGAGTATGAGAAGAGCCTTTGACTTTACAACATTGAGTGGGGTGAACAGTATTCATTTAAAATGAAATAATCTGCATTTTATTTCCTGCAGTGAATTTTTATGACTTGTTTAAAAGTTTCAATTCATGAACTTTTGTTTAATACAAAATGAAAATTTTGTAAGCCAATCAGGATAGTATTTTGATGAGGCGGACTGCTCAGGATTAAACCTAAGACTTTAGGCAAGTCCTCTACCCCTACCCTTGTTTTAACTTTTATTTTGAAATAAGGTCTTAATAAGTTCCCCAGGCTGGTCTGAAACTTGCAGTCTCCTGCCTCAGCCTCCCAGTAGCAGGGATCACAGGTGTGTACCACTACACCTCGAAGAATGCTTCTTGTTATGCTCTTATGGAAATAATATTTTGTATCCCAGGTACTCTTCTAGTAGTCATCAAATAACTGTACTATGATAATGTTGTATAGACACATCAATTGCCAGTACTGTAGAATAGTGAGTAGAAGTGACATGATTGAAGTCCTGAGATCGGTAAATTTAGGAGGAAGAATTTGTGCCAAGGCTGTCTGCCTCCACAGATTTTTACACTGTTTAACTTTCTCTTCAGAGATAGATCCTGGCTGAGAGTGGTAGCACATGCTTATAGTTCCAGCTATTGAGAAAGCTGAAGAGTGCTTGAACCTAGACTTTTGAGTCCCACCTAGGTAATATTGTGTGAACTTATCTCAAAAAAAAAAAAAAAAAAAAAAAAAACTTAAAGTTTCATATACCTATGTTACTTCTTAAATTATTTTACTCTCCATGAATGTGGTGTGGGAGGTTCTGGAGAGCAAATCTGGGGACAACTCTAAGCACTAAGTTACATCCTTTAAAATTACGTTTTTCTTTGGAAGCTGAGTGTGATGGTGTATACCTGTAATCCAACCATCTGGGAGGCTGAGGTAGGGAGTCTCAAAAAGACCTCACTGTCTCAGACCACTCTGTCTCAGAAAGACCTCCCTCAAAATTTTAAAATTTTGATACAAAGTAGTGTTAAGTTGCCTAAGTGAAACAAATTTTGATACTCTTGCCTCACCCTTTTAAATAGCAGGGGTTGTAGGCATATGCTGTTACAGCTGGTTCTGTCTTTTATCTGAAGTCTTTTATTTTAACCATTAGCTTATTGCAGATATTGTTTGATCAATTTTTCATGCCTATAATTTGTAATATGAGTTGCTGCTTTGAAGAGAATGTGCAGTGTGCTACCCATTGATACTCTTCTACAATCTCATTTTGAAATTTTATACTATTGTTTTTATTATTTTGTCTTTAAAATAAAAAAAAACACTAAAACTCAATGGTTTCTGCAACTTTATTTTTATTTATATGACATTTAATTTCTTGTGAACAGGACAATCCATTTCTAAGCCAGATGTGATTGACTTATTGGAGCAAGGCAAAGAGCCCTGGGTGATTCGGAGGGAAAAAAAACGAAGACCCTATACAGGTAAGGAAAGTAAAGAGAACAGTCAAAGCTGTAACAGCCTATACTAGATAAGGGAGAAGAAACGCTTGTTCGTATTTTTGTTATCAAGCCCCCTTCCAAAGGACCAAGGTTGTGGAACACAGACCTGTGATCTCAGGAGAAAATAAAAGATCTTGACATGATCAGTGGAAGAAGCTTTAACTTTACCCTATTTGCCAGTCATTGTACTTTTCAAGTTTCAAACCCATTTTCAGTGATGGAGCTTTCGTGTGTCTTTGCACTATTTCAACTGTTCAGTAGCTTTTCAGTGTCCTTTTTACTTACACATAAACACACATAGTGTAGAGGTAATACATAAAACTTTATGAAATCTGGCTTGTATGGAATTTATATTATGTTAGAGTGAATAGATATGAAAATGGATTGGTAAGCAAATACCATTAGGGAATGGAATTAACTAGCATGGAAGGTAAGCAAAAGTTAGGCGATTATATTTATTCATTCACTTATTTTGTAGTAGAACCCGGGTCTTTGTCCTGAGCTGCATCCCAGTTCTTCTTTAAAATTCTTCATTTTGTGACAGGGTCTCACTAAAGTGGCCGAGTTATACAAGCTGTGGTGGAATTTGAGATCCTCCTGCCTCATCCTTCCTGAGTACTGGGATTATAGGTCTGGACTGCCATGCCCAGTTAGGTTGGGGTGCTTTGGATGTGAAGGGTGGGGATAACTTTTCTGGAATGGTAATATCTGAGAAAGGACATGATGTTAGGATATAGATCTTGTGTTTCTCTGGAGGTGAATATTCTAAGGTGAATTAAGACTTTAGGGAAATATTGCTGGGGCAATCAGGAGAAAGAATGTGCAGAGTAGAGGAAGAACAGGGAAAATTATGTGAGTTTAAAGAGCACCAAATAGACCATAGTAGAGACTCTGAGAGGAAACTGTTTAAAAAAATAAAATTAATTTAGAGCTGACTAGCACATTCCTCTAGTCTCATCATTCTGGAAGGTGATGCTGGAGGATTGCACATCCCAGCCCAACCCGGGCAACTTAGGGAGACTGTCTCAAAATAGAAGTATAAAATGGGGTGGGAATGTACTCAATGCAAAGGCATTGGGTTCAATCCCCAGTACTCTCCACCAAAAAAAAAGACTTTAGGACTGGTGAGTGATACAGCTCAATAGTAGCATACCTGCCTGTCAAGTCCCTGGCTCAAATCCCCTGTACCACTGAAAGAAAAAAGACAAAAATTGAATTTTTACTGTTAGGAATCAGATCACATGAATAGTTGTTGAATTCGAATCATCAGTAATAAGAATGGAGCATGCTTATAATCAGTGATATAATTTGTTTTTTATTTTATTTATTTTATTTTTATTTTAAAGAGAATAAAACCAAGCAAAATAAAACAGGATAACATCAATCAAAACAAACCAGTGTAAGTGACACAGGACTTTTGTTTTTTATTTTAATTTATTACCAAAAATACTAGAGAACATAAGATTATATAAACATAGCATTACACCCAGGTCAAGAGTTAAAATATTTTTTAACTAATAAAATGTGAGAGTTATAGAAAGGCTATAATAATGATATGCTAGATTCTTTTATACCCTTTAAGCAGTATTTTTAAACAAAGAGAAGTTTTAGAGTCAACTTTAAAGCCCTTCTTATGCCTCTTCCCAGGTGCCATCTTATCTTTCCTAAGTGTAACTGCTGTTCTGATTTCTTTTTTCTTTTCTTTTTTTTTTTTTTTTTTTTTTGGCCACTCTGGGAATTGAACCTAGTGGCCTTGAACATGCCAGGCAAGCTCTGTAGCACTGAGCTATGCTCTCAGCTGCAATACAATGCTTTTGTTTTGTTTTGTTTTTGAGACAAGTTTTCACTGTGTAGTTCTGTCTGCCCTTGAACTTACTGTGTAGCCTAAGGTAGCCTTGAACTTACAGTGTCCGTCCTGCTTCAGCCTCCCAAGAGCTGAGATTATAGGTATGGGCCATCCAGCCCAGTTTTGGTCTGAAAGTCTTTATGGTTAGATGAAACACAAGAAATAGGAGGAAAATAACACCACAAAGGAATGGCTCAGCCTGAACAATGTAGTGGTCCCAGCTAATACATTCCATGTGGTTTCTTTGCTCCTTTGTTTTTTGGATGTGGTTATGGTGTTTGTAGGATCAAAAGCAATGAACTGTAGTTAATTGGTATTGGATAAAGGAGACTCATTTTTTTATTATGGCAGTTTGCTATTTTTGTAACATAGTGATTGGGTTGAACACAATTACAATTACGGTAAATAGTACTTATCTTCCCTCCTTCTTGGATATGCAATCTGATAATTAAATATCAATGACCATATCTTGAATTTTCCCAAATGAGCAATGTTTGGTACTTATTCTTTTTGTGGTGGTCCTGTGTTTTGGTTGTGGTCCAAAGCTTTGAAGCATCTGCCTTTTTCAGTGGAGCATTTAACCATTCAAACATGACAGCTGATAAAACTCAGTTATCTCTGTATGAATCCCCCTTTTTTTTTTCCTGTCGTTAAGTATTTTTCCTCCCCGACCTTATTTTTTTGTTGTTGTTTTTTGTTTGTTTTCTGGTACTGGGAATCAAACTCAGGGCCTAGTGCTCATGAGGCAGGCACCATCCCACTGAGGCACCCCAGCCCTCCTCCAGACTTTTTATTTATTTTTTTTAAGTCCATTTTATTTCAAAGAAAAAAATAAATAAAATGAAAATTCAAAATATATCAATTTGGGGCAACAGTGGTACCTACATTGCATATCTCCAAATCATTCAGCCAGAGCACAAGATATCTATATTCAGTTATCCATACAATACCACCACAAATCTTTCTCTTCAGTGAACTCAGAGAAATCAGTAGTATAACTATCAACTATTTTTATAAATGTATATTCATATACATATATTGTTTCTTTCAGTTTCTCACACTAGTGAGACAATACAATGTTTACACATGGGAGTCTAATTTACTTCACTTATGAGTATGGTCTCTATTTGCATTCATTTACCTATAAAAGTCTCCAGTTTATCCTTCTTTATGGCTGAGTAGTGCTCCTTTGTGTAAAATACCACATCTTTTTTTATCCATTCCTTAGTCACTTAGGCTATTTCCAAGATGTAGCTATTACAAGTTGTGCTGTTATATACATGGGTGTATATATATATCACTGTGGTATGATGTTTTGAATTCTTTTGGGAAGATACTCAGACAAGGAATAGCTGGGTCAAATGGGACCTCTACTTGTAGTTTTTGAGGAATCTTCACATTGATTTCCACAGTGGGTTGCACCAGTCTACACTCCCACCAACAGTGGAGAAGGATTTCTTTTTCTCTGCACCCCTTCCAGCATTGGTTGTTGGTTGATTTCTTGATTATAGCCATTCTTTCTGTGGTCACATAGAATCTCAGTGTTATTTTAATTTGCATCTCTCAAGTGAACCATAATGTTGAATATTTTTTCATCTGCTGCACATATTTCTTCATCTGAGAAGTGTGTCTTCATCTTAGATGCCCATTCTTGGATTGGGTCTTTAAATTTGGGAGGACTGATTTTTTGAGTTCGTTATATGTTCTTGATAGTAATCCTTTGTCTGAGGTCCAACGGGCAAACCTATTGTTCCCACATTGTGGATTGTCTTCACTCTGTTGGTAGTTTCTCTTGCTATGCAAAAGCTTTTCAATAGGATGAGATACCAATTGTTGATTCTCTATAATAGTTCCTGTGCAATAATCCCCTAGACTTTTTTAAAATGTTTTTTAGCTGATATTTATAAAGAGAGTGAGTTCTCATAAACTATGGTGTTAATGTAAGGAAATCTTAGCTAAGAAAGTGCATTTCTTTACAAAACTGTGTTACACTGTCTTTTGAACCCTGTACTGGAAAAGTAGAATCAAATCTGAAATAATGACTTATTTATTTATTTATTTTTTTGTCTTTTTCCTTTTTATCGGTACCGGGGATCAAGCTCACTGCCTACTTGCAAGGCAGGCGCTTATGCCGCTGAGCTAAATCCCCAGCCTCTGAAATAATGACTTTAATTATATCTTCCGGTGTTATAGATGTAGGGCAGTACTGTATCATACCTTGTGATACATAATAGTGACTGTTCTTTATCAGAGCTGTTTCTAATGAAGTCTAGAATGTTTTATATCAAGATGATAATTGAGAAGTTAATTTTTCAAAAGATGCCAGGTACCACAATAGAAATAGAAGTTTGCTGGTTTTTAGAGTTTTGTTTATTTTTTAATGGAGTGTGCTAGATACCTATATAATTTTGTTCAGATGGCTGTAAAACCTGAAAATGCTTTTGCTGTTGTTGATGCAGAACATACTTTTGCTGAGATTTATAGAGAGAGTTTCTCCAAAAAATGGATACACACTTCAACAGTTCGACATACTAATTAATGTCTGAAAGCTCTTGGCCACCAATTTGTGCACCCTTTGAATAGTAGATGCCAAATGTAACTTGCATTAATCTCATGATGTCTCAATAAACTTAGTATTAAAATATTAATACAAGTTTTTCTGTTCCTGAAGGGTATATACATTTTTGGCAGTCTTGTTCTCTCACTCTGTGTGTGTGTGTATATGTATATGTATATATGTATATATATGTTATTACTTTTTTTTTTTTTTTTTTGGTCTTTTTCATTTTTATTGGTACCAGGGATCGAACTCACGACTGCCTGCTTGCAAGGCAGGCGCTTATGCCACTGAGCTAAATCCCCAGCCCCTATATGTTATATAATATAATCATATGTATGATTTTTGGAAATTCGTACTGTGCTGCCAACTTGGCAATAGTGTCCCAGTTTACTATTGTGTTGCTGGCATTTTAGAGAAATTAACAGCCATATTGGTAGAAACTTTACATTTTTCCATTTGTGCAAGGGTAATGTACTATATTAAAAATATAAGGTCTTATCTAGGTGAGTTTGAGTACAGGAACTAATAAAGTATTATGTAAATAACGAAAAAACTAAGCATTGCCTTTAGTTCTGG